TTTCTGTGGCCCTACGCGGTCAGGTACGCCGCGCACCAGCTGAACCTCTGGCCACGTGTCTCTCGACCAGAGGTTTCACCGACCAGTCTTTGGACAGGGTCCCCTGGTGTTGCGTCGCGGTTTCGTGTCTGGGGGTGCTTGGCTCTTGTCCGCGACACCTCCGCGGACAAGCTCTCGCCTCGTGCCGTCCCCTGTGTCTTCCTTGGTTTCCCTGAGGACTCCTCTGACTTCACCTTTTACCACCCTCCCTCTCACCGGTTCTTTGACTCCCGTGACGTCCGTTTCGAGGAGTCCACTCCGTACTACGTCAGGTACCCCAGTCGAGGTCTCCAGGTTCCTCCTCCCCCCCTCTTCCTGACTGCCGCTCCCCCTCCTGTTCCCCCGGTACAGCCTCCCCCCCCTGGTCCAGCCCCGTCGGGTGTGTCCCAGGCTACCCCTCCTCCTTCGGTAGCCTCTCCGGTACAGCCTCCCTCCCCACAGTCCTCCTCGCAGCGTGCCGCAGGTGCTAGCTCTCGAGAGGTTGGTGCTGCGCCTGTTCCTGTACCGGTTTCTGGTTCTGGGGGTGGTGGAGTTGGAGCTGGAGTTGGAGCTGGAGTTGGAGCTGGAGTTGGCACTGGAGTTTCTGGTTCTGGGGGTGGTGGGGTTGGAGCTGGAGTTGGAGCTGGAGTTTCTGGTTCTGGAGTTGGAGCTGACCCGGTGGGTGCAGAGGACTCTTGTCGTCCGGGAGCTGGTGTTGGTCACGCGGACACTGGGGGTGAGAGTGCGCCTCCTTCGGGTTCAGGTGAGCCTGGGTCTGGAGCTGGTGTTAGTGCTGCCTCTGGGGGTGGTGCGCCTGGTTCTTCGGGGGTGGACTCTGGAGCTACCGCTGCTTCGGACACTACTCCGCCCCCCCACCCCTACCCGACTAGGCACCAGGCTCGTGTTCGCCGTGCCCATGACGAGCAGCTGGCGTTGGAGAGAGAGGAGAGGGAGTTACAGCGGCTGGAGGAGCAGCAGCAGCAGCTGGAGCCGCAGGAGCAGCAGCAGCAGCAGCTGGACCCGCAGGAGCAGCAGTCCCAGCAGCAGCCGCGTCCGCAGCAGCAGCAGTCGCAGCAGCAGCAGCAGCAGCAGCCACTTCCTCCTCCTGTCTCGGGTCTTCGGACCCTTGGTCTCCCCTCCCCTTCTCCTCCCTCCTCCGCCTCTCCTCCTGTCTACGGTCCCACGTTTCCTCCTCCTGACTCCTCCCCCGCTGTTTTCCCCAGTTCTCCGCCTTTGTCCTCTCCTCCTCCGTCTCGTTCTTGGGCTACTCGTCGCTCCCCTCGTGCTCGTCCCTCGTCTCCTGTTCCCTTCACTGACCTTCGTACTGCCTTCCTTCTTTCTAGTCCACCTCGTCCGTCTCAGTCTGTGCTTCCGTCTCATCCTGAGTCGGCCCTCACTGTGTCGCTCCCTACTCCTGTCACTAACTACTACCGCACGTACCGTCCTATTCTCTCTCGTGTTCTCGCCTCTCTTGTTACTCACCCTCGTGCCTCTGTGTCCTCTGTGTCCGCTCTTACTGCCGCAGTTACTGACTTTGCCTCTACCCGCCGCCTTGACTACGCCACCACGCTTGTGGCTGCTCCTCCTACCAGTCCTCTGGCCGTCGGGGGTGTGTCTGCCCTTGGCTGTGACGCCCTAGAGGACAGGCAGTTTGAGCTAGAGTTCCTGGCGGCCGCTTCCCCTCATCTCTGTGCCATGCTCCTCGCCCCTGAGGGTGACCCCGACGCCCTTGACATTCCGACTCCTCGCACTTACGCTGAGGCAGTGTCAGGGCCTTGGGCTCAGTGGAGAGCTGCCATGGACGCAGAGATGGCCTCCTACAGATCCACAGGCACCTACGTCGATGAGGTTCCCCCCCCTCGGGCGAACGTAGTCGACGGCATGTGGATCTACAGGGTGAAGCGGCCACCGGGATCTCCCCCGGTCTTCAAGGCGCGCTACGTGGCTAGAGGTTTCAGTCAGCGCGAGGGAGTTGACTTCTTTCAGACCTTCGCACCTACCCCGAAGATGACCACTCTTCGGGTGTTACTACATGTAGCAGCACAGAGAGACTACGAGTTACACTCTCTCGACTTCTCCACTGCTTTCCTTCAGGGCAGCCTACACGAGGAGGACTGGTTGCGTCGTCCCTCGGCCTTCACTGGCACCTTCCCTCCTGGGACCCAGTGGAGGCTGAGGCGACCTGTTTACGGTCTTCGCCAGGCCCCTCGTGAGTGGCACGACACTCTGCGTTCTACCCTCTCTGACCTTGGGTTCCAGCCGTCTTCTGCCGACCCGTCGCTGTTCGTTCGTCGTGGCTCCACACCGTTCTTTGTTCTGGTTTACGTCGACGACCTCGTTTTTGCCACTCCGGACAGGGTTGCTTTGGCAGACGTGAAGTCCGAACTGCAGAAGAGACACACGTGCACTGATCTTGGTGAGCTGCGCCACTACCTTGGCCTGCAGATCACCAGGGACAGAGCCGCTCGCACCATTACACTCTCACAGTCACACATGGTGCAGCAGGTCCTTCAGCGGTTCGGGCTTCAGCACTCCACCGTACAGCGCACACCTCTCGCTGTTGACCACAGACTCACTGGTCCCTTTCCTGACGAGCCGTTTGAGCCTAGTGGTCCCTACGCAGAGCTTGTGGGTTGCCTCATGTACCTGATGACTTGTACTCGCCCGGACCTCGCCTTCCCTCTCAGCATCCTTGCGCGCTTTGTTGCGCCAGGGAGACACCGTCCTGTTCACTGGACGGCAGCTGTGAGGGTGGCGAAGTACCTAGCGACTACATCAGGCGTGGGGCTAGTTCTTGGAGGGCAGCAGTCTGTCGTACTCACTGGTCACTGTGACTCATCTTACGCTGACGACGCTGAGACTCACAGGTCTACTCAGGGGTACTGTTTCAGTCTGGGTTCTGGAGCTGTTTCCTGGCGTTCCACGCGCTCCTCTTCTGTCTCGACCTCTACAGCTGAGGCTGAGATTTACGCTGGTGCCATGGCGGCACAGGAGTTGCGTTGGTTGACCTTCTTGCTCGCCGACCTTGGTGAGCGGCCGAGCTCTGCACCGACCTTGTTCACTGACAACAAGGCGTCGATCCTCCTCTGTCGTGAGCCGCGACTGGAGAGCAGAGTGAAGCACATTCACGTCAGGTACTTTCTTCTGCGAGAGTTGCAGAGACGTGGACAGGCTCGCTTCGAGTTTGTGGAGTCCGAGGCCAACACTGCAGACATCTTCACCAAGGCGCTTCCGCCTCGTGACCACCAGAGGTGTTGTGTGCAGTTAGGCCTTGTTGACACAGGTTCTAGTCATGTGTAGGCTTGAGTTTATTGCCTGCTTCGTCTGTACTCTTGCTATATATACTTGTGATCTCTTGGACTGGCCTTGTGGCCACTGTTGCTTGTGCTCAGAGAGTGTGGTGACGTTGTGATCCACCCTGAGCTTTGTTTTCTTTTGGACTGGTCTTGTGACCGTACTCTTTTTTTTTATTTTGCTAGACACCCCTCACTTAGGCTATGGGGGTGTGTCAAATGTTGTAGCCTATAGTGAGGTTTGTCTTAGGGGGTACAGAAGTTAGGGTTTGTTATATGTACCCCAACCAACATCAATGGCATCATCATTCCTCATTTTGACAAGCTTTAAGTAGAGTACCCATACTGTTAGGATTTCCAAATCCTTACTGAGGCACTCGTTAGCGAGGCCATCTCGAGGATCACGCGACGAAACCGTCTTGCCTATTTCGTCGGACCGAACCACCCCCGAGTCGGCCTCCGCTCCAATCGCAACCATCACCCCCCGCCTAGCTAGCTCGTCCCCTATTTAGGCCTCCCTACTTCATTGTTTCTTCATTCAGTAATTCAGTAATTTCCATTCTCGTTATTCGTTTTACTGCGCACTCTGCAAATTGATTCATAACACATACCCCATTGTTTAAGGACATCATGAGCAACAACTCCTTTATCCCACTTATGGGTGCTCTATCTTCGGGTGTATACTTAGATTCTTTATATTTTTTATGCATGAAAAGGTTGTCTTCTTGTACGCATGTGTTTACCGTTGAATTCTCATAAAATCATTCCGAGCTTTTCGCGGTCCGGCCTTCCGCGGTTCGCCTCAGAGATTTTTTTCCCTACCATCCAATCGGAGCCGTTCATCTTACTGGCCTCAATTGCACCAATTTCGACTTCTCGAATTGACTGCACGAATGTCACCTTTGAGACACTGCTCCTCTCGCACTCCAATTCAAATGAGGAACTCAATCCAGAACAGCAACGCGGCCCCATGTCCCCACCCCAACACAGCCGCCTCGCCTGACTCCGCCCACCATGTTCGCGCAGCTTCTGTGAAGTTCACGGAGCCTGCTTCTTTCAAACACGCTGTTATGACTCGAGTTACGCTGATGGCGCGTCTTCCATACTCGAACCCACAGCCTCCACAGAACCGACATTCTCATTCCGCGGGAAACCCTTGCAGCGCCACTGCTACGAGGCTGTCGGCAGCAGCTGCAGCCGACAGCGCTAGTGCTGGCGGTGGGGATTGAACCTAATCCCGCAAAGCGCCATGGCAAAAGAGTCAGCCTTGGTCGCCTGCTTATTGCCTTGGAGTGTAGCCTTGTGTGGTCGAGCCGATCCGAAGCATGTAAATACTTCCTAACAACTGTTACTTGTACTTAGCTGCGAAAACACAAGCTACTGATTCCGCTACTAGCAACCGGGTCACGTCGTAGTCCATCGCTCTGACGCAGCGGTTTTCAAGCATCTCCTTTCGACTCCTCAAGCTTAAAGGCCCCATCAAGCTAAACTTCGACGTCAACAGAATTCGCCTCGACTAGTCTGAGTAGTCCACAATCATTGTCCAAAGCACACACTGGACCGGAACCATATTACCAAGTTACTGCGCTGAATTTCCTGGGTCGCGCCGCTGAATTCCTCGAACCACGGCGCTGAATCCTTCGAGTAACTCCTATCCCGAGGCTCTGCGTAGTGCTAACGGCAAGCACCATGAGGTCGACGCGCCTCGGGAGCCTGCGCGCACCTCTCACTGCGTTGTTTCTCGCCGTCGTGTGTGCAAGTGAGTTCCAAACATGCGTCATGAGTATGCTGTCGAAAATTGGTTTGTTTCATCTCGTTCATTTCGCACCGGGTTTTTTCCGTACTGGAACCAACTCACAGAGTGTTTAGAACTACAGCGGCCAGAAGACACCGCTAGTGTGCTGCCTAACGTCGCGATTCCTGTAGTGTATGGCTGCATGCCGTCGCATGACTGGCGCAGGTCGCACCTGTGCTAATGAACTAACGTTCAGTCTGGGAAGAAATAACGCGGTAACGACTAAACGTTTCCTTTTCCACCCCACCCCCCCCCCCCGCTGTTCCCACGTCCGCATTCCCCACTGCCCCCCCTTCCCACCGCGGATCTTCTCGTGCTCGACGCCGCCCCTGCCTGCATGAAGGCGTTGTTCCCGCACAGGTGAGACTCGACCTGCAGTTCATACAAAAGTCGACTCGAAAGTTGTCGTTCCGGCCGTCCCGGTAACCACGTCTGGTAACCAGCGGTCAGACCGCCAGGCCGCAAGACGCGAATACGTCAGTCCGCAAGGTTGCACTTTTTCGAGAATGGGTCACTCGGGCGTTACATACGTTCTAGTTGCATTGCTGCGTTAGCGGGCCACTAGTTCTGGCGATTGACAGCATTGATCTGGACCGTCAACCAAATGTATCCATCCATGTCACCTCTCAGCCTCTTCTCCCACGACTGTCCTTCTATCGCTCTGTAATCCGCTGCGTCTTGACCATGCCACGTACTTCCCAGAATGTTAAAGAGCCACCCACAAGCACACGACTCACGTCTTGTCTGATTTCGTCCCTCGCTATCGCCCATCCCTTTTTCAGTCTCGACCAGTCATGGTGGGAGGCAGGTTGTCGACCAACCAAGCAGTCAGCCCGTGGGGATTGGGGGTTAGCGACTGGTCACCGCCTGCTGTGAGGCCAGGAGACCTCCTCGGTAAGAACTGTCGGATCCATCACGCTTTGCTAACATTAAAGTACGCTACCCACGAGTTCCAATTGCGTCTTATATCTCATGCTTGTATAGCGTATTTCAACAACGGCTAAGGTAATAAATCAGCTGCGAAGGTTGTGAATTATTTAAGTTCTCCGCACCTGCCCACATCTGTTCCTTCCCATCATCTCCTTCCTACCATCCTCCAGTGTTCAGATGGTTTGGAGAAACCCATGATGTGCAAAAGTTTGGCGACCCAGTAACCTACGGCCTCTGCAGCTTCTTCAACACGAAACAAATATCGCCTGCCCGCCCTGTTGGGGTGAGGACGTACAAAGTTAAGGCTAATGACAAGGGCAGGACCCTTCACTTCTCAAGCAGCGTGGGAAGTGATTGTGCAAATGGGGTTAAAGTTGCCATACGTGTAAGGTAGATGTTCTGTTCATATACGTGTGCATTAATTCCATCACATTATGTCATTATGGGAATCTATCAGAAGGTAACTGGCTGCGAAGACCCGGACTACATACTGCCGTATCATGAACGGAAGTATTATGCAAGGTGCCAAGACCCAGTGCGCGGTATGCGTTGGAGCTAGGTGGAAAACTGTAAGGAATTTTCTCGATATTCCTTAGCGCACCCTGCAACATCGCGTACAGCAGCAGCCTTTGTTCGCCCGTTACTGCTAACGGGGCTTCGCCGACTTCGCGCGCACTATTTCACCAAACCTCGCACTGCTGGCCTGGCCGCGTCGGCCTACGCTTTGGGACTAGCCCGAGCGCTTCCAGCGTAGCACTAGCTAGCTCGCACGCACCGCGTTACCGTTTGCATGTTTCGCGTATAAATGTTCGCTCATGCCTTCGCTCACATTTTGTACTCGTTTGATACCTTAGTGCAATTCTCGCTACTTCGATCCATTGCACCCGTAACACTTGGTATTCAGAGCCTCTTTCTTTTCGGGCCGCGCATCTCCGCACCCCAGGAAATCCACTCTTGATTTTTCACTCGAAGGGACTCACGTACCTTAGCACCTAGGAGCCGCTCTCCTCGCGTTCTCTCGTAAACGCATGCAGCCACGACTGCGCCTAGACTAAGACGAGCCGACGCCCTTCGAAATGGCTCAACATATCGACGTCACGACTCTCACCCAGGAGCACTTGAACGATCTGGTGCGACAAATCCGCGAGAGTGCCGAGGAAATCGCGACGCTGACGACAGAACGCTCATCCCTGCAAAACGACCTCACACTGGCACAATCCCAAGCACCTGGCACTCCGATTCAGCCCGCACCACAAACATTACAGCACGGAAGTGTGGGGCAACCCACGAGCGCCGCAAGTGATGGCGTCGTCCGCCATGACGGAGACGACGACCACGGCACGAGACACCCCGACACGACGAATGCGGCCAGGACTCAGCCTCGAGACACGATTTCAGTGCCGGCCGGCGAATCAGCTCTTCCGTCGCCGATGCCGCTAAAGCCGCAGCGTCCGCCATGCTTTGACCCAAGTCAGCGGGGTGGTCCTACCGTCCAGGCGTGGCTCTTCACGTTGAACGTTTTCTTCGACGCGAACTACGTCTCGGAGGATACTGAGAAGAAACGAGAATGAATGACTAAGGAATGAAAGTGATACAAGTATGCTGTTGGGCTGAGAAGCCCTAGGATCTTTGTAGAGTTTAAGGACTGAGTAGGATTGTAATAGCGGAAGCGTTGTAATACTGAGTGGTTGAACCACCTTACACTAGTATGTGAGAGCAAAGTAAGTTAGATTAAACAAGCAAATACAAGGTTTATATAAGAGTACAAGGAATACGAATAGATAGATTTAAACCGTTTTACTGTTGCGATTCGATACAGTGCGACTCGGGCAACTGCTCAATGTCGAGTCAGTTGTGTGTCCTTGCTGTCGCGCTGTAATTGTCGAGTCAAAGGTCGCTGACCTTTGACTTTCCCGTAACCTCTAGGCGGTTACCCTAACCTCCGAGGGTTGACTCGCGATGCTTCGATTTGGGCTGCTTCGCTAGTGTCCTGAGTTTCGACACGACAGAGGCGCCTTAAGACTTATTTGTTCCCAACACTCCCCTTCGCTTCTGGAGTGTCGCTGATGGTGACGTGGCCTTGTCCAGTCAGCAGCATGCAGTACTCGAACTTCTGTTTTACGAGTTTCTTTGTCAAATAATCGGCTGCCATCTCGGACGTGAGACAGTAGGATAATTCGAGTTTCCCTTTCTCGATTTCGTCCTTTACGAAGAAGTATCGCAGAGCGATATGCTTCGTTCTGTTCGCGAATCCGCTTTTGTTGGCGATGCGAATTGCAGATTGGTTGTCGCAGAACAGGGTGAAGTTGGGTAACTCGGCTAACTTTGCTTCTTCCAGGAGCTCGCGAAGGTAGAGTCCTTCCTTGGTGGCTGAGCAGAGGGCGATATATTCTTCTTCAGCTAAAGAGAGAGCGATTAGTTCCTGCTTACTCGACTGCCAGGAGATAGGCCCGATAGGCTCGAGAAGATAGACGTAGCCGGTACGAGAACGCCTGTTATCAGAATCGCCGGCATGGTCAGCATCGACGTAGCCGATTAGTTTCGTCGTCGTAGCTTCGCCCTTGTAGTAAGTTAGGCCGATCGTCGGTGTGCTCACGAAGTAGTGCAGTGCGCGATCGAGCTCCGCCATGTGCTCAGCTTCGGGTTTCTTGAGATAGGTGGCGAGTTGACTCGCGGAGTAGGATAGATCCGGGCGACAGGTTACGGCTGCGAAGAGGAGGCAGCCTAGTTTCCTCTGGTAGTCTCGTATTCCGGCAGCCTTAAGTGGAGCGGGATTTCCTTTGCCGCTTCCTGTCGTGTGGCGGTATGGCGTGGCGATGGCGGTAGGCGTGAGAGAGAAGCGCTTGGCGATAGTGTCGGCGTATTTCTCGGCGTTGAGGTAGATAGCATTTTCTTCTTCGCGGATGTTGAGCCCGAGATACTGGGTGACGGTGGAGGAGACGGTGAGCGTGAGGTCCTTCTGCAGCTCCCCTTCGAACCAGGTGATGACGTCGTTGGTAGAGCCGATGTAAAGCAAGTCGTCGACATAGACGATCAGTAAGATGCAGTCAGCGCCTTTGGTGAGGCGATACATTCCTTGGTCGTGAGGCAGTTGTCGGAATCCGATGCGGGTGAGGCGGGTGTGTAGGTGCTGTTGCCACAGTCGCGGGGCTTGTTTGATTCCGTAGAGCGATTTCAGTAGTTGGCAGACTTGGTTGGGGTTTCCGTGAGTGCCGTGTGGGAGGTCGACGAAGATGTCTGCGTCGACGGGTGCGTAGAGGAATGCGTTGGCGACATCGATCCGTCGCAGCTTCTTCTTCTTCATGGCGGCGACGGCGAGAAGAATGCGGAGAGAGGTATGTCGACTAACTGGGGCGAAGGTCTTGGTGAAGTCTCGTCCTTATTCCTGGTCGAATCCACGCACGACCCAGCGTGCTTTGAACTTCTCGATTGTGCCGTCAGCTTTCGTCTTGATGCGGAAGACCCATTTCCCGGTGAGAATGGTCTTGTTCCGTGCCACGCTTGCGGGAGCGACCTTCCAGGTGTTGCGTTCCTCCAATGCCTTTAATTCCCTGTCCATGGCTTCACGCCATTTTTCCCTGTGTTCCCCCCCCAGAGCTTGCTGAACTGTCGCAGGCTCTTTAGGAAGAGTGTTGCCGGCGGTCCCGTGGACTGCGGTGACGAGGCCAAGGATTTGTAGCCCAGTCTGTGAGTATCGAGGGAGTTCTGGATCCTCGGGATAAGCTGTTTCGTCTCCCGCTTCTGGGTCGGGGATGAAATTTGGCCCTATCCTTTCTGCTTCGTTGGTGTTGACTGTCGCAGGTGTTACGTAACCGTTGTCGGCGAAGTGGTAGAAGACTTCGGCGTTGTTACTGTCGCGAGGATTATCTTCATCCATGGGCACATCGACGGAGCAGTACGGGAGAGGTCCGGCTTCCTCCGATGCGTTGTCGACGTTCTGTTCATCCCAGTCTGCTTCGTCTGCTGCTGAGGCGAAGGCTCGGTCACCACGAAAGCCACCTGTGGTGTCCCGATTCTCGTGCAAGTTGGCGAGGTACGTCTGAAGGGTGAGTCGTTCGTAGAAGATCACATCACGTGCTGCTACTGTTTCTTTTGTGTGGACGTCGAAGATTCTCCACGCGTTGTAATTTTTCTCGATGCCGAGGTGTAGTCCCCATTGTGCCCGTTGTGAAAATCTTCCCGCTCGTGCTTCTGGGGGTCGGTACTGTACCATGCACCCAAATACTCGTAACATTTTTGTGCTGCCCTGCTTTCCTGTCCACAGCAGATGCGGTGATGCGTTGTTCGGGAGTGACGACGACGAAAGCAAGTTGTGCAGCATGACAGCATGGTCCATTGCTGCTGGCCACTGGTGGTTGGGTAGCCGCATGCCACGTAGTAGTTTGCGCATGCTGTTCTGCAGGGTCCTGTTCATTCTTTCTGCAACACCCTGCTGCTGATGTGTGTAGGGAAGGGAGAGGAGTTGCTTGATCCCCCTTTCCGCCAGGTACTGCTTGAAGCGCTGAGAGGTGTATTCGCCACCTCCGTCTGACTGGAAGCTTTTCAGCTGCGTTCCTGATTCCCTTTCTGCTACCGGTAGCCAAGCGGCGAATGCTGCGAGTGCCATGTCGCGGCTGGGTAGGTTGCGATGCCAGACGTATCGAGTGGCGGCGTCGATGAAGGTAATCGTGTAATTATAGGTTACTTGGCCTGGTTCTCGATTGTAGAGGATGTCGCTGTAGACTTTTTCGAGTGGTGCGTATGCAGGTGCGCTCGGGTTGTGGTGAGAAGAAAAAGGTCGATGTGGTAAGTCGGCCTCGGGGCAGATGAGGCAAGTCCCCCGTGCACGTTGAAGTTCTCTGCCGTCGAGTAGTAGTAGCGAGTCTTTGTCTAGCACTCCTGCTCGTATCGTATTATTTAACACCGTGTTACTTGGATGTCCTGTGCGTGCGTGCCAGATGTCTTCGGAGGCGCGGTGTCCGGGTGAACGTTGATATGCGTCGGAGTTGGAGTAGAAGCTGGCGACGAAGTTGGCGCTGCGGTGGACTTCTCGTTGAGTCGGGTTCAGCTGTTGTGCGGGTGTTGGTGGTGTTTCGTCGACGATGACTGGTGTCGTTGTTCCTGCTGCTGCCGATGTTGTTGCTGCTGCCGATGTTGTCTCTGCTGCTGCCGATGTTGTCTCTGCTGCTGCCGATGTTGTCTCTGCTGCTGCCGATGTTGTCTCTGCTGCTGCCGATTGTTGAATTGTTGCTAATGCTCGTGTTCGCTCTGCTTCAGGGATGGTGTGTGAGTACCAGAAGCCTCCTGGACTGAAATCAGGATCGAGGTCCGGAGGGTGTGTCCAGTCGGTAAAGTTGACGATGGCGTCGCTGTCTGCAGTGCCCAGGTCGGGGACAAAGTCAAGAACGAAGACGT